CGGTCGCTCACGACTCGTCAAACACTCAAGTGTGGCGGACTGGCTGCGCGCACGGCGCTAGCTCGCAGCAACGATATCGCTCTTGAGGCCCGCTGGCACCATCTTTCTCTCCTCTTCTCTCGCCTTGGTACACTGCGACACGGGGCGCGCGAATGATCACCGCGGACGCGGCTCGCTTTCCCCACACATTCGAGGCAATCACGGACGCCAGGAGGCAAAGACGAACAAATGAGTCGGCTCCGGGGCGGCCACCGCGCGCCACAGAAATTCGCTCGGGAAAAGCGATCGCGAGAGTTCTGCACCGCACGAGTATCGGCTAACGTAAAATGGCGGCTGCTGTTGACGAGAAGTTTTTCTACGCTTGTCAGAAAATGTCCGACTGGTTCCGTATAGTTGCCGTGACATTAGACTAGCCATCTGATTGGTCTATATGATCATGTGACCTAATCACTTGCTATTATTGGTCAAACTGCTGCGAGGCCACGAACGCTGTGATTACGTTCACGCCGCCGGTCCAACAGCCGCGAGAATTTCGTTTATTCCTCTGCCGCCATTTGATAAAGGCCGGTCTTACATAGTGGTTGTAAGATGCTTCTTGAATTAGATTTATCATTGGTATTAGAATACGTTTATAGAAAAAATTAATAATACGATAAAATTATATAATAAACTACTTTTAACAATTTACTTCGCTTTAGTGATGTTCAAAATTTAAAAAAATTAAAAAAATTCTAGCCTAATTGTTTCTTATTGCTGGAAAATATCGAGATAATAGTTTGCATGATATAATTTATGTATTAGAGACAAATTCATTAAGATATTTTGTAATTTATGATATTCTATGTACATATTTTTTAAATTATTTAAAAATTTTTTTCTATTTATATTTATATATATGTAAACTTTTTAATATTTATTGTAATGTGTCATAAGTAAAATGTTTATAAATTTTACATACATAATATTTTTATCGAAATAAAACTACTTTTTTAATAAATTTTTATTAAATTGTAAAATTGTATTAAAATGTTGATTATGAATATACACCTTTTTCGACATAACCTTCAGGATTTTTGCAAGTATTATGTAATACGAATAATAGAATCATTGAATATATATCAATAAATATATTATATTTTTTTATTTTATAAATCATATTTTGTTTACAAAATTATATTTAACAACTAGTTTTGTATTTAAATAGTATTTATTGATTTTCAAAAATTCTATTTTTTGAATATCTTTATACATAATTCATTCATTGAAATTTGTAAATTATATGTACAAATATCCATATCGCTTTCTCTTTTGTAATTATAAAATTAAAATATTTGTATGATTATATTCATGATGAATTTGTATCTATAAACTTTTTTTTAATAAATATCTATTTGCATATTAGGAATGACAAGAAACTCAAAAATTGTATTTATTACTGCATTGACAAAATCAAGAGTGATAAAGGGATATCATTACAAGATGGCCAGGGATTTCTCGATCGACAGGTTAAAAGGAAGAATGTACACATATACAAGGTGGGGAGTTGCGTTGCGCAGAACGTCCTCTGTTCGAGAAAGAGAATCTGACTCGTGATAGGTGCGAACGGCACGCGACTCAGTGCACGCATATATTGTGCGTGAACTTGTTTCCATCTCTTTTTTCTACTTTGTTCTTTCTCGCTCTTTCAGACATGCGTTTGTGTGCGCTCGCACGCGCACGATAGTGTCAGATACACAGAATTGTGTAAAGAAAAAGGTGAACATGAGAAGAGAGGGAGTATTGGAAATGGGACGGGAATTAGATGACGCCGTGGCAGCAGCCACCTAGCCACCCATTTCAGTGACAGCGACAGCGACGGCAATTCTTTATGAGGTGTTGCTAGTCGCTTGTATCCGTTATTTTTTTCTTAATTTTAATTATTAAGAATAAGTGAGCTTAATAATTTTTTTTGATAATCTTTTAATAATATATTTATTCATATACTATATAATAATAAGAATAATTAAATAATTAATTAATTTAAAATACGATATCAAATATTCAATGTTATTTTTAGTCTTGAATTTTATTTTGCTTTTAATAGAAATGTATTTTTAATATTCTTTTAAAATCAATTATAGTTTTTAATAATATTTATATTAATAAATGTCATAATATTTATTCAAATCATTAAAAAAAATTCATTATCTTTATAAAAAATGTGGAATTTTAATTGCAAATTATATCTTAGATATTCCATACTTAAAAAATTATATTATGATTAATTTTATAAAAATAAATCTTAGATTCATTAATTTAATATTCCAACATTCTAATATTAGCTATTGATTATTTTAATATTATGATATTTATATTTAATAATTGAATAAAAAGAAAAATGTATGATAAAATCTTTAAATTTTTAAGTTAAAGTAAAAATTGTTATTAAAATTAATTTATTATCTATTTTTTAAAATTTGTTTCTTGTAATATATATTTTAAAAAAATAGGTTGAAAAATAAAAAAAATGAAATAGTATTTTTTATAAGTTTTAAATATTTCATTACATCATTTCACAAGTATACTATTAAAAAATATAAGATTTTTTATATCTATATTACTTTTGGCAAAATCAGAACCAAAAAAATCAAATTTATAAATCAAAAAAATATTCAAAATCAATATTTTATAAGTTTTAATTTTCTTGAAGAATAATAACTATTTATTTATAATTCATTTATAATATTTTTTTTATAATTCTTCATTCTTTGAAACTAAAAAAAAAACTAAATATTTTGATTTTTAATTATCATAATTTTTTTTAATACTAATAATATTAATATTATGATATTATTAATTTATAAAATCTTAAGATACAAAAATTATGTTTTACCATGTATTAATGCTATTGAAAATTTGTATTTTATTGTAAAAACTTAATATAATATTAAATTTAAATTTTAAATTTAAAATCTTAAATAAATATATAAATAAGAAAAGAATTGGCAAAAATCAAATAAAGTAAGAAATGAAATTGTGTTATATTAATTATATATATTGATATACTACATATAATATACTATAGCACAAGTTCATTTTAATATTTTATTGGGATGCAATAGAATATATTATACTTAAATTATATTTATTTCAATATAACACTATTTATCAATTACCATGACAACATATATTATCATAAAGAAACATTTCATAAAATCGCGGGAAATTATATTAGATAGGTTATGTTTAGAGACTTACCGAGACTGAACCCTTTCATTGTTGCCAGATTTATATTTAATATAGTTAGTATTAGAATCAATTATGTATGTTTTCAATTTATTAAAAAACTTTCGTATATTTCATTTATTTTCGAATTATATATTCATATATTATATTTTTAAATTATTTGTAAAGAATAATACATACAGAGAAAATACGTAAAAATAGCAAACAACATGAAAATTTATCGATAGTCCTTACCCAAGTGTTACGTAAAAGTATTCATAAAAAAAAACGTTACAGTGTTAATGATGCTATTCTATTAACTTATTTTTTTAAATTTTTTATTCATTAAATAATTAATTTTGTATTATATATACATTATATTTTATAATAAAAGAATAAATTGTTATTATTTATAAAATTATTCTATATAATATAATGCGTACTATATATTCTTATATTTTTAAGAAATAATCAAAATGTCTATAAAAGATACATTAACCGATTTCTAATTTTGATTAATATATCAAATTATTAAAAAAATCTAATAATAATCTCTTGCATAGTAAAAATTAATATTAATTATATTAACGTTACATTTCAATTGTTATAAACCAAATGGGTTATTTTCATGCTAGCTTTGAGTCACTGATATCGCCATCGTTATCTACTGTGATAAGGGACGTAGTTTTTGTAATCTCGCCGTCGATACGATACGATTCCATCTCATATTATTTGTAATAATTATAAATTTAATTTGTTATGCATTTTATCATAAATAAAGTACGAATATATAGCAAAAATAATTTTAATCTTACATTAAATAAAAAAAGAAATGTATAATTTTCTTAGCATAAAAATTCTAATTATTCAATGCCAATTTATGGATTATATATTTGCGTAATAAATAATTGTGATAAATTAAAGATACAAGGTCATTTTTTGAATCTTGATATTCTTATTACAGTCCTTAATATTTTGCTAGAAATTGAAAAAAAATTTACAACAATACAAGAAATATACATTGTTACAATAAAGAATAATAATAAAAAATTAAAATAATAAAATATTCTTTCTTAAAGTTTTATGATACAAAATTACCGAAAAAAAATTGGAATTATATATATTTATTTAAAATAATTGAAATGAATTATAGGAGCAAGGTCGTTTGTGTTCAAATCGTATCAAAGTCATAAAAAGACTATTCACAGGTTGAGATAAATCTCCAAGTTCAGTTAAATGACGTTACATCATAAATCAAAGACAACCCTCGTTATGCTTATATGATCATTTTAAAGATGCTTTGAAAATATCTTTCTTTTTTTTGAGATTTTTTTATAAAAACATATTTTAAACATTATTATAATAATTTAGTTTTTTGGCATTTAAAAAATCAATGTAATTTAATTGTGACAACATATAAAATGTGAATAATTATTTTAATATATTTTATTTTTTAAGATATATAATAAATATATTTTATATATTGTTTTATAATAATTGAATAAATAAAAAGTAAAATATAGATAAAAATAATTTCTAAATATGTATTTTAAAATGAATTTACTCTTTTGAATTATATATATATACAGACATAGATGAAATCAAACATCTAATACATAATATATTTAATACATAAATATATTACAAATTTGAAATTAAATATATTTATTTATTTTTTTTATATTTATATAATATAATAATTACATAATTTAATAATAATTTGCAGAATATTTGTTTGTACAATTTGCAAATTAATATTTTAATATAATATTTAATTATTAATTTCGTTAAATTAATTTATTTAATTTAAAGAAATCTTAGCAGAAATATAAATTAATAAAATAAAATTGAATTTTTATTGTAATACTCGCACTAAAAAAATTTTTAATGCGATACATTTCTAAAATTTCATAAAATTAAAATTATGATTCATTTTTATATATATAATATATAATATAGCAAGAATTTAAATATATTAAGGAATAAATCAAGTATAAATAAATAAACAACTTGCTTGAAAGAAACAATTTTTTTTTAATATAAACGAGAATTAATATTACCTGAATATAACAATTGAATATCTACATCTGCATTTTACAAACTATTTACTCATTTTTTGATAACAAAAAGTACATTGCAACATCAATATTTAACATTTTCTATAAATAATTTTAATCATAAATTTCAATATAATAACTGATCAATATAATTGATTAAGTAATTAACACACAAACATATCATATCATGTAACAAAAAAAATATAATATGAAATAACATTTTTCATGTTTACCTTAAAGTAGAAATAAAACATTAAATCATGAATTAATAAATTACGTATACAATAAAATAACATATTAAGTATATTTAATTTACTCAAATATTTAATTAAAATTTTAATTTAAACGAATTGGTTTTATATGAATTAAAAGAATATGTATAATAATTATACATATACAAATATATATTAGAACAATATCATTATTTTTATGACTGAAATGTTAAGAAAATTAACAATAAAAATTTTCTCAAAAAACTGATTCAGTCTCTTATTACATGATAATTGTACCAAAAATTAAGTGAATGTGACTTGCATAAAGTGCATTATATTATTTAAAAAAAATGCAATTTTTTCAATAAAGTTGATATTGAAATCAAAATTATATATAAATATGAAATATTGATATGATATAATTACAGAATTTACAAATATTTTTGTTTTGTAGGAATGTTTTTTCTGAAAACATTGTGGCATAAATGCAGCGTATAGAATATAATATCATTTGCACATTCATTTTTAGAATATTGCACAATAAATTTTATTTAAATTACACTCAAATCTTTTTCTATTTTTTACAAATAATTTAAAAAATCAATGAAAATATTAATTTTATAAATAAAATCAAATAAATTCCATTTAATTATATATAATTATTTAATATCAATTAACTAATATCATTTAAACAATTAAGAAAATTTAAAATTCATTATTTACTGCAATTAATATTAATCATATACTTTTTTATTATAAAACAGAACTAAGATTAGATTAATTGCACTAATTGTTAAGAAAATGCATATATATTAAAATTATATATGTGTATTGATTTTCCAATAATGTTATTACTTTATTTTAATTTGAAAACAATTATTAAATAATTACATGATAATAAAGAATTTGTCATGTTATAAACAATGTTGCAAATATTAGCAATTCTGCAATATATTAATAACAATTACAACATATAAATTTATAGTAAATTTTATGTATTCCTTTTTTTTATATATATAAAAGACTAGTAAACGTGTTTTTTTTTACAAATTTTCAAATGGAATTTTATTGTTTTCTAAGCAATGTTTTCAAAAATTTTTCATTTTTTAATTAAATTTTGATATACTTAATATATATTTTTGAAAATATATTATTAAGTAATAGAATATTATATTTAATTAAGTATATTTAATTAAGTAACAACTGAAATTGTGTTATATTTTAAGATGGTATCATATTGTTTTTAAAAAGCATAATGTTTTTATTTTAAGAAACAATTATTATTCTCATAATATAAATATGCAGAGTACTGCATTAACTTAATATTAAATTTCAAATGTATATCAAATATAACACCATTTTATTAAAGATTACAGACCAAATACATGTATACAT